AACTGAACTAAATGACATCTTTGGTTGCAGAATACAGACTACTTCCAATACTAAGAAATTATATAACTTTGTGTGTGTGTGTGTGTGTGTGTGTGTGTGTTTATGTTGTATTAGCTCAGCCATTCTGGTTTGTCAACATTTTAATCTGCTTGATCTGTTGTCTGAACCCTGCCAATTATAATTTATTTGTTCGAACAAGATTGGAGAGGCCCATGTTCAACTACAGAAGCTCATTTTGTGACTTTGGGCCAGTCATTCTTTCAGCCCTGCTTACTTTGCACAATTGTTTTGTGGAAAAAATGTGTGTTGTCTTGAACCCCTGGAAAAAAGGTAGGATTTACATCTAATAAATAAACAAACCATGATTAAGTATTCCTTAGCTTACTATGATCTGTGCATCCTGCCTCTGTGATGTTTCCTGACTACAAGAATGACACCTCACTGAAATTTATGCTGCTCTTTACAAAGAAAAATGAGGACCTCACAGCACATTTTTACCATGTCTATCTTATTGCCGTAATCATTTACACTTAAACCACTGCTGACTTTTGAGGGACTGAGTATCTGTGAATAATAATCTTATGCTGGGGAAGGACAGATTCTGCTGTTCCGTGAACATTCCTTCCCAACAGATTTATTGGAAGTTTGAAACGAGCTTGAAAAAAATTGACTAATAAATTAAAAAGAAAAAGAAAAAAATGCTAGTACAAAGTGGGATGTTTATAGGCTTCTCTCAGCAAAATATATACATGAAAATAAATGTAAGTGGGTTATTTTCAGCTTTCAGAAATTGGTTATCAAATATTTTTAGAGTTAACAGTTATCATTGCAAGTGCAGATGAGTACTTCTAAATAGTGCAGACTTCTGTTCCTGTTTTGGAGCCATATAAAATAGTGCACAACTTCAGCGAGACCTCCGAATTTGAATATTGTGTACTGTTTGAAAAAATATTAAAAAAAAAAAAGAAGTGATTTTTCTTTGGTGCAATTCTGCCAGGGTTCTTAAGGAGCTGCAGCAGCTCTTTTGTAGCACTTATGGATGATCCCTGGAGGGGGCAGGATGGAGGTGGTGCATCCATCCTGGTGTTGTGCAGAGTACAGCAATGCTCCCAGAAAAACTTTGCCCAAGGAAAATACACATCAGCATGAGAGCTTTGCAAACTGCAATGTCCATATCTTGTTCTCCAAAGAAATCCAGCCAGAAAATATATACT